GGGAAGGGAGGGATAAGGGCGGGGAAAAAGAAAGGGGGCATTACGATTAGCATGTATAATGTGGAGGGGGCACGGGGAGGGCTTTGCAACAGAGAGAAGACAAGTAGTGATTCTACAGTATCTGAGTACGCTGATAGACAGTGACTGTAATGGGGTTTGTGGGGGGTGACTTGGTGAAGGGGAAAGTCTAGTAAACATAATGTTCCCCATGTAATTGTAGATTAATGATACCAAAAAAAAATTAAAAGTAGACTCATAATTATAAGTAAATAAATAACCCTTAGCAAACTAGGGATAAAAATGATATTGCCTGAATTTGATAGTTTTTCCCATAATGATGGATGGGAAAGATAACATTTTTCAATTTGCTTTAACCTGGTAACTTCTAAAGTTGAGGTTCTTTTTGTGTTCGTTAGGCAGTTAAGCCTTCTTTTCTATGAAGTACCTGATTAAATCGTTTTACTAATTTTCTTGGAGTTGAGTGTAGTTTTCTTATAAATTTTAGGCATACTGATAATATTCCAAATACTGATTTTTTAATATGCAAATTAGAATTTTTTTTCTAGTTTATAGCTTTTCTTATTATTTTACGTTTTATATTTATTCATTTTGAATGGGTTAGTATGTACACATGAATCAAATCTCTAGAATATAAATACAAAAGAGAATACAATGAGAAGTTTCTGTCCCACTCCTTTCATCCAGTTTCTCTCTCCAGAGGCAGTGTGACTTCATTTTTTAAAAACTTCGTTTATAATGTCATTTATTGTACAGACTTAAAATTTTATTGTAGTTAAATGTATCAGTCTTTTCTTTGTGGACTGTGATTTTTATGTCTTGTTTAAGAGAGCTTTCCTCTGCTTCACCAATCTTTACTGTTTTCTGAACTTTTAAGGTTTGCCTTTTCATATTTAAGTCTTTATTCTGTCTGGAATTAATTTTTGTGTATGATGTGAGGTAGTGATCACCCTTCCTTCCATATGATAAAATGACTTATTCTTATATTCTTACATTATGTGATTGCTTCATCTGATACAACTTGCAGTGTGATGGAGACTGCTTGAGCTTCATCTATGTGTTGGGAAATATAATTAACTTCTGTGTTTTTATTTCTGTTTTGTTCCTACTTCAAATGAGTGCTTAGAGCCCTAATAAGTATTGCCTTTCAGGCCCCATAATGCACCCTTGTGTCCTCTGATATGTCTGGAATTTGTGTAGGTTGTGATGGGGCAGGGAAAGGAGGGCTCCTTTGTTACAACAAACAAGGAGAAGGCTTATTTCCTGTCTCTTTGGTTTACCAATGCCTCATCAGAAGCTTTCAGCATTTATGTAAGAAATTAATTTTTTTCCTTGAACTTGAACAAACTTTAGAGTTTAAAATAAGGTACTGTAGAGTAGAAAGTTGTTTTTACTTAAATATAGTATTTTTTCTTTAGTTCTAGATATTTCTTATGTTTTAATCATGTTCCTTGATATTCTCAGCTTTATATTGTGGTATTGTGTATTCTGTGGAAAGGGATCAGTGGCCTATGTGATACGGGGATAACTTAAAAACATAATCCACTATATGTCTTTTCTTTCATCTTCCCTTTTACTTCTTTTTCAACCATTCTCTCTTGTCTTACCAGATACTCCACTTAGAAAAAGTGAGGCAGAGGGAAAAAAAGAACTAGGTTAAAGAAATTAAAGTGGGGCAAAATGAGTGAATGATCATGGGAGGGAAGGGGAGAAAAAGCAGAAGGGGGAAAGAAACTGAGATTGCTTATTTGTTACTTGTGTGTTAAGACTCCCAAGGTATCGTTTTCTATGCCTTGTGAATAGACAGGAGCATCCTTGAACTTATTTATTCTTCTACCTATTTTATTTTACCTATTTAGGGTGGGGCAGACTTGGGGGTGATGACCAGGTAGAAAGGATTCTGTTGAGAAACAACATAGCTAGGGTTTTGTGCTTCTAGCTCCATTCTCACATGTGTATTTGATTCAGTTGAGTACCGGAGGGTCAACTATGATGGAAGTTTTAGAATCTTAACAGAGTCTTGCTCTGGATATTAATAAAATAAAGACTGGAGGTTCTATGTGTATGTGTGTTTCTATTTCAGGAATATAATGGATGCTATTCATGTCTATTTATATGTTAGGACTAATTGATCTGAATGGAGTCTTTTTTTTTCAGAATTAAGAGATGTATAGACCATAAAATGATAGTTTAGATCTGATAAGTCATGACTCCTTTCAGAGCTAACACATTTTATGATTTTTTTTGATGCAATATAATAGTAATTTCTCATTAGCAGTGATTATAAACAATAGTTTTATACTGGCTTTTTTTCTTGACTGAAATAAGCTGACATTAAAAAAAAGAGGCTTTGACAATGGTTTAAGATATAGTAACTTTTGATTTTAATTGGCTTATAATCATTGGCATCTCTGAATTTATACAGGAAAAATAACTTATCTTTGTGTAAAAATGTTGAGACAAGCATTTTAAATTCTCTTTCTTTAATGACTTTTTGGGTTGAGAACATACAATAATTTAAAATTTTTGTGTGAATTCTTATATTATAATTTTAGAGAAAACAAAGAGGGAATTTAGTAGCTACCAATAGAAGATTTGGTCTGTTGATTAAAACCATGTAATAATTTTTCAAGGGAGTAGAGAACTTTGGAGTTTTCCCGTGCCTTGTTTGATGATCATTTTAAACATTATTTGTGTAGTGTTGGCCAAGTGTGTTATACATTACTTATATTTAATATTTAGAGTTGTCATTTCTGTGGAGAAGTACTTGGTACAATGAGTGTTATGGGGGACTTTAAAATTGTGCAAGTGATCGTTTTCATTGTAGGAATGTTTGTATCTACTCATGTTATATAATAGATGACTTTATATAAGGATTAGAACAAGCATTAGAACTAATTGATAATGGATACAAACAAGTGGTGATGTGTCTGCTACAAGAAATGGAATAATAACAGTTCTTATATATAACATATTTAAAATGAAAAGGAGGATAGTAGTTAGGCATTAGGAAACGAAGACTAGGGCAAAAAATAGTTCTGAGAGTCAAAGAAGATTTACCAAGAGTGTAGCTCAAGTATTGGAAAACCAGCTAAGATCAGGGGCCAATAGAACATATCTGCTAGTGTTACTCAGTGATAGAAGAGTGAAAATAAGAACAAAATACAGGTTTTTTTTCCCTAGTGCCCTAAAGAGAAGAATCTGAGCAAAGGTTGGTCTTAGATGATGGCCCAGAGGCAACCAGAATTGAAGGATTTTAAAATAAAACCTATTTCTGGACCTGGGCAAGGCTGATTTATTATCTATATTATGTCCCTGTAAGTGCCTTCCATTCTAGTGAAGCCTTTTTCGTTAAGAGGAAAAGAATCCAAGGGTGGTTGGCTCAGTTGAAGGGGGCTAATTATAAAGAAGCATTAGCCTGTGTGGGGACCCAGGAACCAAAGGACCCTGTGGGTAGAGCAAATGTCTGCAAATTGTCAACCATACTATTTAGATACAGGTTAGCACTTAGAGGGTCTCATGCATATTGTCATGTGATTTCAGTGGCATTTGAGACTGGCCTGAATGTGGTACTGTCAGCAGTTGATTGTTGCATGGGAAATACTATATAGTACTGGCTGTATTCCCAAGAAGGCCTTAATTTAATGATTGTCCATTGTTGTGTTGGGGCAACAGCTGTAGGTCTGATGTCTTAAAAGTACTTAACAGTAATAATTCAGGATTTGACTTTTTTAAAAAAATTAAAGTATCATTGATATACAATCTTATGAAGGTTTCACATGAACAACATTGTGGTTTCAACATTCACCCATATTATCAAGTCCTCATCCTCCCACAGCAATTACTGTCTATCAGCATAGTATGATGCTATAGAGTCATTACTTGGTTTGACTGTTTTAATAAGGAAATGTGGTCGATGTGACTACCAATTCTAATATACTGTTAGACCTGAGTGGCTGTATGGATCTATATCTTCCTACGGTACATATCTGAAATTAAGAGGCAAATTCAGGTCATATCCTAGAGGCTATTTAGTATCTTTTAATTAATTACTAAGTATCTAGGTGGGTATAACCTTAACAGCAACAAGCCCAAATTGTCTTCTTTTGAGCAGTCAACAGATTAAGGATTAGTTTTTTCAAAAGACCAATATGTAGATTAACCCATGGAAAGAGGGAATAATTGTATGGTTGAGAAGGCATGAGAAACACATACAAAAATGATCCTCTCAAGATTCTTCTGTTTCATTTTTTCAGAGATGCCATCTGCAATTTTATTATCTGCAATAATTCTTCCCTTCGAGGGCAGCCCATTATCTTCAATCCTGACTTTTTTGTGGAGAAACTACGACATGAGAAACCCGAGGTGTTCACTGAATTGGTGGTCAGCAATATCACAAGGCTCATTGATTTACCTGGAACCGAGTTGGCTCAGCTGATGGGAGAAGTGGACCTTAAATTGCCTGGTGGAGCTGGCCCAGCATCGGGATTCTTCCGGTCTCTAATGTCTCTCAAGCGAAAGGGTAGGGGATGTGTCTGTGAGGGGTGGGCAGGTCTCAGCTTCCTCCTGGGCTTCCACTGTTAACATCTGTACATTCTTTGAGAAGTTGCTATTACCTAAAGCACTTTTTGTCATTTTTTAAATTTTTGTTAGTACAACCTTAAGTAATAATAATAAAAATAGTCCAGATAAACTAAAACAAATAAATGTGTTAGTTCCTGAGAGATGGCAATTAGTTAAGGTAGTTATAAGGGGCACCTCGATTTTCATGCTCTATTAATACTATACTAAAATAATATTTTAAAAAATCAAAATTACATAGCTAGAGAGTACAGTAAAGAAAGTTTGAACTTTTTTTTATTGTAGTATTTCTAATAAATAAATAAATTGTAGCATTTCTTTAGGTAAGAGATTAAAGATGTGCCATTTTATTTTATAAAACACAAGAAAATAATTTAAGGCAAAAAAAAGTTTAAACATTACTGTAGGTCAGACCCTGTACCAACTCTAGTGAATAATCCATTCTGCTTTGACAATCATGGCTCCAAATTCTGTTTTTAAGTTAAATATCAACAGTCTGGGTATTGTTACTTAAATAAGAAGATAGTCTTTACCTTCAAGAAACCTAAAATCTATTATTAAATTTGCAAGAGTTGATTGACAGTTGTTGTGATTGTATTTCTGGTATAATTCCAACTCTAAGGGTTTTGTTTACTGAGTCCATGAGACATTTGCTTGAATTGTAGGTACTTAAGTTTATAAATATGATGATTTTGTGCCTTTGGTGGAAAATACAGCCCTATCCTACCATATACAGCCCTGCCCTATCATATGGTTTTTCAGAAAAAGGAGTGGTATTTGGATCCCCACTGACAGAAGAAGGCATTGCCCAGATATACCAACTGATTGAGTATCTACACAAAAGTAAGACTACTCAAAATTTTGTTGTACTTTGTTAATGAAGAATTGTCAGTTTTCTATTGAAGTTAATTTTCTTGAATTAGTAGGTGCCAATTAACCATTAACAGAGATGCTAATCAGTGATAGTTTTAGATAACATGTCTCTAAATAATATTTCCTTTAAAATTTAATCTCATGTATTGATTTGCTTTGTATTCTTAAAGATGTATATAAATTAATGTCCATGAAAAAACACAATCCCCTTAACTCAGAGAGATATTTCTTCTGGAAAAATACATTGTCCCTAAGAATCATAATATTTACTCAAGGGAATATTATTTATCACCAAAGATATGTTTTATTTCTAGAATTCTATGATTAAAATACACTCTTCACTTAATTCCCATTTCATTTTTAGTAGTCAGGCTGGTTGTATTATTGCTCTAAGTACTTGCCAGCTGAATATCTGAAATGTGTGGCATTAGGCGAATGCTTTGATAAATTCAACACAAACATTTATGTATGGTTTATTCTATGAAAAAAATCAAAATTACATAGCTAGAGAGTACAGTAAAGAAAGTTTGAACTTTTTTTTATTGTAGTATTTCTAATAAATAAATAAATTGTAGCATTTCTTTAGGTAAGAGATTAAAGATGTGCCATTTTATTTTATAAAACACAAGAAAATAATTTAAGGCAAAAAAAAGTTTAAACATTACTGTAGGTCAGACCCTGTACCAACTCTAGTGAATAATCCATTCTGCTTTGACAATCATGGCTCCAAATTCTGTTTTTAAGTTAAATATCAACAGTCTGGGTATTGTTACTTAAATAAGAAGATAGTCTTTACCTTCAAGAAACCTAAAATCTATTATTAAATTTGCAAGAGTTGATTGACAGTTGTTGTGATTGTATTTCTGGTATAATTCCAACTCTAAGGGTTTTGTTTACTGAGTCCATGAGACATTTGCTTGAATTGTAGGTACTTAAGTTTATAAATATGATGATTTTGTGCCTTTGGTGGAAAATACAGCCCTATCCTACCATATACAGCCCTGCCCTATCATATGGTTTTTCAGAAAAAGGAGTGGTATTTGGATCCCCACTGACAGAAGAAGGCATTGCCCAGATATACCAACTGATTGAGTATCTACACAAAAGTAAGACTACTCAAAATTTTGTTGTACTTTGTTAATGAAGAATTGTCAGTTTTCTATTGAAGTTAATTTTCTTGAATTAGTAGGTGCCAATTAACCATTAACAGAGATGCTAATCAGTGATAGTTTTAGATAACATGTCTCTAAATAATATTTCCTTTAAAATTTAATCTCATGTATTGATTTGCTTTGTATTCTTAAAGATGTATATAAATTAATGTCCATGAAAAAACACAATCCCCTTAACTCAGAGAGATATTTCTTCTGGAAAAATACATTGTCCCTAAGAATCATAATATTTACTCAAGGGAATATTATTTATCACCAAAGATATGTTTTATTTCTAGAATTCTATGATTAAAATACACTCTTCACTTAATTCCCATTTCATTTTTAGTAGTCAGGCTGGTTGTATTATTGCTCTAAGTACTTGCCAGCTGAATATCTGAAATGTGTGGCATTAGGCGAATGCTTTGATAAATTCAACACAAACATTTATGTATGGTTTATTCTATGTGGGACTCTGTGCTAGGAGCTAGAGCAGAGGTTGCAAACTGGCAGCCTACTTGAGTCGCTCTACATTTTGTTTCACTGGCAAAGGATTAAATTAAAAATAAAATTGGTTATCAGTGTTTTAAAATGGGGAAGTCTAGGTTTTCACCTTCTTTGGATGATAGGAAGATGTAGCATCCTTAGGCCGTGTTGCCACTTGGACACAATCAGCTGGAGCATAGGTATGTGCTTTCCAGTTTGTTACAGCTTCTGTTTATTCATTTACTATTACTGCGTGGCCCAGTAGGCATTTGAACTTGGACCCCTGAATTAGGGGGCTATAAAGATAAATTTGTACCTAAACTGAAAACATGAACCATCATGCTTCTTCCAGATCAAAGCAAAACTCTGTGTCTCATCTTTATATCCCCTTGGATTAGTTTAGAACCTAGTTGGGAGGAACGAATAGTTTAGTTGGGATTAACCTAACCTTCTGGGAAACTCTTAGACTGAAAGGTGATCTGACAGGTTAGAGTTCTTGTTCCTGGGGCAATGCAGAAACTCTAGATTTATTTTGGACTGGGAAACCATTTATAGGCACAACAAACCTCTACAGATGGACTCCCCCTCCAAAGTCTGGGATGTCTGAAGGGAAGGGGCCTTCTGGGAGATGTGGCTTTGCTTCCAACTTACTTTTCAAGCTCATTCCAACTGTTGTTTAAGTTAAATTCAATCTCCAGATGTGCCTCAGGAGGTTGAATGACTCCTGGGTGGACCATCTCTTAGTCTGAGAGAGCTCCAGGTGCTCAGGGATATTCAGATAGGTCTCCTCGGGCCAGTAGGTTCTAAACCTCTCTGGGAAAAAGGGCAAATCTCTGCCAATGTATTTGTAAAGAGTCTTCCAAGTGTAAAGTAGCTTTTCAGACCACTTATTTTAATCATAATTTCTCTTTTTTTGCTTCATTTTGCATATCCTCTGTTTTCCTTCCATATGGAACAGATTTGCGAGTAGAGGGTTTGTTTAGAGTACCTGGGAATAGTGTCCGACAGCAGATTTTAAGAGATGCTCTCAATAATGGAACTGATGTTGACTTGGAATCAGGGGAATTTCACTCAAATGATGTTGCCACCTTGCTGAAGATGTTTCTAGGAGAGTTACCTGAGCCCCTGCTGACACACAAACATTTCCATGCACACCTCAAAATTGCTGGTGAGTATGGGAGGGTAGAAGAAGTAAATATATTGCTTTCAATTTAGTGAACTAATTTGGAATTTTCTATTGTTTTGTAACGCACAGCAATACTTTTGCCAATATGGTTAAGATTTAGTTATACTTCTGGGCTGTTTGGGTGCTCGTAAGTATTGGCCAGTTAAATTTGATTTAATCGATTGTTTTTCTTGCTAAGTAAGCTCTGTAGATAAAGTCTGGATTTCATTTATTTTTGTATCTGATGGATTCTAGCACTGTGCTTTGAACATTTTAGTTGCTCAATAAATGTGTGCTTTTCACTGGATTGATTCACATACATGAGATGGTTACAAGTTTGCCATATTTGCTTTGGTTTGGGGCTTTTGCTAAGTATTATTATGCTTCAATAGAGATGAATTATGCTTTCAATTTATCTCTGATCTTGAAAATTTATTTTTTAAAAGGATTTTGTTTTCTAAGTAGATATAAAAAATTTGCGTAGTTCAGAATTCAAAAGAAAAAATTAAAAAAAATTAGTGAGAATGATGTCTTGATCTGGGTGGTGGTTACATGTATTTATATACATGTCAAAATTCATCAAGCTATATACTAAGATTTGTGCATTTTATGGTGTATACTGTAATAAATAGAACCCCTCCAAACCTACAAAATCCTCCAAAACCTCCCAAAAACAACAGGTTCAGAAGAATATACAATCAAAGCCTCTCTCCACCCATTCCCCAGCACCCAGTTTTTCTTTCCAGAGGCAACGAATGCTACTGATTTCTAATGTGTCCTTCCAGAGATATTTTATATGTTTACAAACAAACACATATTTTCTTTGTCTTTCTTTTTATGTAATGGTAGGGTTTACTGCCATACACGGTTCTGTGACTTGTTTTTTTTCACTTAATATATCTTGGAGAATGCTCCCTTTTCAGCTCATAAATAGTTTTCTCATTCTCTTTTATGCCTGTCTGCTGGGGAATTCATTCTCACATTGCATTGCTGTTATGCTGCTATTGCCTCTAAGTGCACACAGCACAGAATCCATTTTACATGTACTTAGTTTACTGCTTCTGAGCATTTTCCTCCTTCTTCTCATTTTAAGGAAAATAAATAGATTTTTTCTCTTGAGTAATTTTTACTACTAAAAAAGACTAGCTCTGAATTTATCAAATCTAATTAAGATTAAATTTTTTAAAGCATTTCTAGTAATAATCTGATGACATAATTTAGTAAATATTACTAGAATTTATGCAACTTTACAATTATTTTGGAAAGAAATGAAGTTGTTGGATCTTTGGAAAAGATATGGAAAGTACAGATAAGTTAATGTTTTGAGAGTTAACATGAAAATGCTTGTTCTGTTTGTTTTCCTGTTTAATTAATTTAGTGCGGTATTTGAAATCCTGTCCACCACTCTGTGATTCACTGTTCTTTGAGAGCATATTGTAGCATTTGATAGGCTTTGCTGATAACTGAAAGGGATTTTTGTTTTCAGTCCCATATTAATAAGGAAGAATTTCTTGAAATATTACTTGCCTTCCATAGATCTGTAATTATTATTGAAGTTAAACAGCTTAAACAACACACTTTTCATTTTCATTTCAGATCTATATGAATTATACCTAAATGGTTATTTGTATCCTTTGAATTCTGATTATCCAGGGGACTATTTTTACTGATATCTGTGCAGTCTGTTATGAATAAAACAATGATTCTAATTCTGTGAGTAGCTGTCTGAATCATCCTGTTATCAGGGCATAATTCACTCTCATATTTCTTTTGTCAGTAGAATATCTGGGTGAGGAAAAGTGAAGGAGGTAACATTTGGCAAAGATATGTGTGAACTTGTTTTTATTTCCCTTTGGTATATACCTAGTGGTGGAATTGCTGTGTCATATGGTAACTGTACCTTTGACTTTTTGAGGAACTGCCAAACTATTTTCCCAACAGCAATGTAGGAGAGTTTAATTTTTTCAAAATTCTTGTCAACACTTGTTACTGTCTGTTTTTTTTTTTTTAAATTATAGCCCTACTAGTGAGTATGAAGTATCTCATTTGGCTATGATTTACATTTCCAATAGCTAGTGATACTGAGTATACAAATGCTTACTAGCCATTCGTAGATCTTTAGAGAAATGTCTCTTCAAGTCTTTTGCCCATTTTTTGATTTTTTCTTTTGGTCTTTTTATTATTAAATTGTATTGATATTATTTTGTTATTATATTCTGCTGTAATGTCTGTTTATACTTGATTCTTTTTTTTCTTTCTTTGATTGAAGTTGAGGGGAGGATAATAGTAGGAACAGTGATTTTTCTTGCTTATATTTTCTGCCTCCTATGCAATCATCTCTTTTGTCCTCAAGATTTGATGCAGTTTGATGATAAAGGAAACAAGACCAATGTACCAGATAAAGAGCGGCAAATTGAGGCTCTTCAATTGCTTTTCCTCATTCTCCCTCCACCCAATCGTAACTTGCTGAAGTTACTGCTTGATCTCCTGTACCAGACAGCAAAGAAACAAGACAAGAATAAGATGTCTGCCTATAACCTTGCCCTCATGTTTGCGCCACATGTCCTGTGGCCAAAAAATGTGAGTGTTGAGGGGAAGAGCAAAGACTGCTTGGTTTTCTTGGGCTGGACCTCCTCCTATGGCTGTACCTTGGTGAGGTTATCAAAGGTCCAAGGTCAATTCTTCAGCTTTATGAGGTTACAAACA